GGTTTTTCTTATGCATTCTCGAGTGCTTATAACAAACGATATCCTATTGAGAAGGTTGGTTCAAGTTCATGGTTTGGCTGTCATCATGACATGATAAATGCTAAATTCAGCTCGTCGATGCAACTATTACAACATAGTCATCTTACAGATGATACTTTTCATATGTATAAAATGCTTGATGAACAACCATTCACACTTATCATTGATCTTATTAATACAGCTTTTACATGCAATGATTCAATCGTAATGCAACGTATTTTTTCCCATAAATTGATGCCTCTCCAGATAACTTCATGCAATTCAATTTACAACGAGAGTGGTATTTCTTTGGGCTTTTTACTTCCTGGTCGTGCAATGAACCTACAACTGATATTGCCTGGAGTTCGGACAATTGGTATCATTCGGATATTTCTTAAGGGGCCGGGTCAAGTCAACGACAATGGAAGGTAAATCAGAATTGTATTTTTATTTTAACCGTATCATACTCTTGTTCTAGAATAACACTTCGTGAACTTGATTTTGCCCAGATTATCGGTGTAGCTGCCACAGATTATGTATTGGCTCCGTTGGTAGAATTCGACATTCATATGACCGCTGTTATTAACCGAACGGTTTCATTAAGTCTCCACGGCCAACCCACATTCAGTATTGCATGGTCATTTGCAGTGGATGTGAAACTAGATGAAGCATGTACTGTCGAGACTCGATATACGTTCTATAAACGTGAAAAGACTATTGTCAGTATTACTCTTGTTGACACAGTATTCTTGGTGAATAATGTGCAACAACCAATTGCAAGATATAATGAAATTATCTTTCGAAATCTGCTCTTCACCGTTGTTGTAGTGGAAATCTTCCGACTTGCTTTTCTCATCTTCAAAATTATGTTTGTACCATTCTTTCGATTATGTATTGATCATAAGTCGAAAAACAAAAAGAAAAACGATTCTATTGTCGACGAAGAGAACAATACCGAGAATAACAATACAGAATTGAGTACTCTGTGGACTAGCGAAGGTAAGCTCTTATCTAAAAGGAACTCAATATAGCAACTCTGAGAACTATCAAGAAATTTCTTTCGACTCATGTTCTTTAAGATAGTATTTTCAGATCACTAAATGTAAAACATCTCGAAGAAACTCTCATTGCATATAGTCATCAAATCTGTTTGGATAATATAAATTGTAAATTTTGTCTCCGTTTTAAAACAATTTTCACTGTATGTTAGGTGGAAGTACAGCCTTTTAACAACTACGATCGCGATCGAAAACATGGCAAAATAAACATTAAATACTTCAAATGACTTTAAAGTGACGACTTGACCGAAATTTACAAATATAATACAAACTTTGCTTGATAATCATTGTCATACTCGCTATTTCTAACCTTCTATTCCTAATAAAAGAAGTCTTTTTTCCATTAGCTAGAAGAAAGTGATTTATTTTACATGGAAATTTTCATGAAATGGATTATCACTGATACTGCACAAAAAGTCGAATTAGAGCTTAGTTCTGTTGTTTGATTTGTACAAGTAGACGTATCGCTCGTCACATATGTCTAAATCTGTAGTTATAGATTTTATTATACAATAGTATGTTATAAAAGATCGAGATGCATCAGAAATGAAATCTGCTCGTTGCTGACTTTTCGATAAAATTCATGTACATTCAAACAGAAAATAGATGGAAAATCATTATTATCAAAGATGGATTATTGCACATTTTAAGGCCTATTGAAAGTTGAGAGTGAAACTTAGTTTATCACAGTGAATGAACTTTTTGCTATCAAGAAGTTAACAATTCGATCTTTCGGTTTGAAGTATATTAACATATAATTATTTCTCATAGATATAGCTTCCATATACATGCCATAGACCTTCTTACGAAGTCATTGACATTCGATTAAGGATGGATCCCATTGATTTCATTGCTTCCCCTTGGATCTGCGTGAAGTGCTCGTTGTTGTAAGTAAAACAATGATTGCCCAAGATTAGACGCGTCAAGTAAAGAATGGTGTCGCGAGAGATATTCTGTATTTTATCGTTTGATACACGCTGAGAGAAAAATTTTACATGAAGCATCGATAACACAATCATGTGGTTTCGTTGGTTAGAGATTCGTGATATCTGAAGTGACGAAAAACGTTGTTGGTATGAGAGAATTAGTATCTCTGGATCATTTCAATACGCAAAAGTTATCAACTTCACTAATGCAGACTGTTTATTGGAGAATTCAGAAAAATGCGAGTTCCACAAGAGATCGTAAAAATCTGAATATACATCTTATTGGACCATTAATACATGAACTAATCGGTCTTAATGACATATATAGATCTGTTAGGAGATATTGGCAACATAGTTTCGGCATTGACTTAAGTTGTTTTCAACATGTTTTCTATAGGTAACGAAGAAAAGTTTTCAAGTGTGAATCACTATTTCGAATGGAAGACGTACTAACTTATCCAGCTCAATAAGCTGATTCCAATGGTGGCATAAAGCTGTTTTCTTCATGAAGCTTTAAATCAGAAAAACAGTTGGTCTTATTTGTGAAGGTTCACATTCAAAGCATAGAGGTTTAAACATATTGCAGTTAAAAAGCATCATATATGTATATCTATTCATCAATAGTTTCAATAACATGAGCTGCATGAGCCCGGTATGGGTAAATATCTGCACGTTGACGATATTCCAAGGTGTTTCCAAACTTTCAACATGCGCTACATCTTCAGTTTGAGAAAGGCAAAAAACAGTGATACTAATGGCAAGAACAAGGTCGATTGCTAAAATGGTACATACTATGGAGACAGCTATCGTTATACGTATAATGCCAGAAGTGGTCCATGGACCAATGTTATTCAAAAAAGACTTGTACAGCTAATACAGAATCAACTATTTTTCCTTGGCAGGAATTGATCGCTATGGTCTTGATTATCTTACCAAAGGGCAAAAAAGCGAATTTATATGTTTTTCGGGTATTTTTAGGTATTTATAAATATTTCAAAGTGTTTCTAAAATTTGCAAAAACATGAAAATACGCTTTTCTCCCTTGATCGAATTCCATCATATCGAAGAGATATTTTTCGTAAACTGTACCGTCAAATCGATGAACTACAAGCTCAGCAATTTGATTATCATTGTCAAACAACAGTTACTGTCTACTATGAACACAAATGTGCAAGTATTCCCTTAAAAGAAAACAATGAATTCGAAACTTGTGATCATATGTTAAAATAATTTTCTGCCTACTAACAAGAAATATCATTACTCTTTGCTTAAAGTACCCTTATGAAAAATGATTTCATGGGCACTTGCTTTCAAATTATTATTAATCTATCGATTTCATTATCTCCTTTTGTCTTGTATCAATGAATTTAGCTATTTCCAATTGAAAGAAGTTCTGTTTTCTATACTCAGAGTTTTAGATATCGATGAATCTACGGATTAAAAAGAATGTAAGTATGGGTGTACGAGTGATATGAGTGAGTACGATAGTGGTTAACAGTATATGTGTGGATCGTCTCATTACTCACATGATCAATAGTTTGAATGAATAAATTATTATTGATCTGTTCAACAAATATTTTGTTTATTTAATTACTAAACTTTGATCAAAATCTTTCAAAACAAGGAACGTTAGAAATCATCTTGTCTTAGTTAAATTTCATTAATAGATAGTTTGTTTTTCTCGAGATCATCCACTTATAAGAAGTTTGTTATCGAAGCATAGTATGCCATTCTTGTTTATGAAATTTATGAGCTTACTTTTATATAATTGTTCGATGTTTTCAGATTTTATTGCAGTTAATAAATTCATAAAATCTGAATCGTCCATTACTACAACAAATATGTAAAATGATAGATTTTTTAAATACAAAACAAATTTTCTTACATTCGTCGTTCACACATTTCTTCATCGATTCTCGAATAGTAGCGTATGGGTGTGGGTGTTGCTATTAGTGTGGATATGGTTAAAGAAGACTGATATCCATTCCGTTGTTTGAGTTGACTAGACTGACTTGAAGAATCATTTCATTGGCTCGACTGGACTTGTAACTTATAAAGCGCTTGACTAGCCCTACTCTTAAAAGCTGCTAGAAGACTTTTTTTGGAGAACATGGAAAAGTTCAAAATCAATAGATGAAAGTATTACAACATCATTCTTGACGATTAATGGGCAATGATATTTTTGCTAATAAAATACTATTTATTCATCTTTGAACTTTATCAAACAACGACTTATGTTCTATAAGATCGTGAGAAAACTATAAATAACTTGCTTCTTTGTATTGTATGTCTTATTCGAATATTTTTTTGAATACTCTAATAACCTTGTAGTTGGAAGATAGATTATTGAATAAAGCAGAAATAGCTCTATTTTCCCTCCGTTGATATTCTTCATTCTCTGAAAGATAGAATGATCAATTTCTATGAAAAACTTGTCCAATTAAAATGGATTCAAATCTGAAAATGCTTTGATCATAAACATGATAACAACTCGATTATAAACGATTTATAACCGTCATAAAATTTCGACTTTCATAGATTGTAAATTTGATACGCATAACTTTTATTATATTCTAAATGAAGTTCATCAAAATCAATTGTGAACTGTTGATAACTTAGTTAAAATCTATCGAGACTAGAGCAAGGCTAGAATAGATCATGTTGTGAATATGGGTGGATGAGGGTGTAAGCGTATGTGTACAGGGTGTGGCTGTGAATGTAAATGTGGACGTGTACGTGTGCCCGTATGAATATTGTTGCAGAAGGCTGCAAACGCTCTTACACACCGCACATTCTATACTCACGTCGACATCCACACCTACAACCTACTCGCTGTAAATAATGGTTGAGAAATTCCAAAGAAGTAGAAGAATAAGAAAAAAAAAAGTTGAATAAAGCAAGGCAAAATAAGTTGTCGTTAAAGCATTTAGTGTTTTTTCTTGATAAGAAGTACTGTTGTTTTTTTGTGTGACACATTACCATAGATGAATAAAAAAGTATGGCGGCATTAGTGTCAACACCATACGATATACTTGGAGTAAAACAAACTGATAAAGCTCATTGTTTTCCGAAAGCATATCGTACACGAATTCGTGAATACAAACAAGATCGACTTCGGACATCTGGAAAGCGTAAAATTACACCTGAAACATTTCGACTCATTTGTCGCGCTTATGAAACATTATCTGATCATGATAAACGTAAAAAATATGATCAAGATGGCGAATGGATAAGAAATATACCTCTAGAAAATTATACATTACAACAATTAGCTGCTGAACCTGAACTTGTAACAGACTTAAAAAATCGTTTACAACATGTAACATTAAGAAACATAAATGCACAAGATCCACAAACAGGACACACAGCACTCTATTGTGCAGCGCGTACTTGTAATCTAGAAGCTGTCTATTATTTAATAGAACAAGGAGCTGAACCTGATCTACCACAGAGAACAGGAAGTACAGCTCTACATGTAGGTGCTTTTTATGGACATTCAGAAATAGTTCGTTGTTTATTGGAATGTGGAGCTGATTATCGAAAAAAAAATTCTGAGAATAATACAGCCGAAAGTGAATCTTTGGATACCGATGTAATAAAAACGTTTACCGAATTGAAAACAACACCTTTTGTACAAACAGCTGCAAATCAACTTGAATGGTTTAAGGATAATATAAGTAATATAACACAGCATATTGATGAACAATATCATTTACAAAGACAAACATTACTGCATTGCGCTAGTAAGAAAGGTTATATTGATCTTGTTCGTTGGTTAGTCGAAGAACGCTCAGCTAATCTAGATATTGTTGATATTAATTTAAATTCACCTTTACATCTTGCTGCATATGGTGGTCATAAATCAGTTGTAGAATATCTCATTAATCAAGGTGCTAATCCACTTTTACTTAACAAATGGTGTATGACAGCTGAACAAGAAGGTTTTATTCATGGAAAAAGTATTACGAATCTATTTCAATCGATGCGTGAACGAAATATGTTTGAAATGGCTGCTAATGGTATCGATTGGTGGTTTGAATATTATTTTGGTAATAAATCACCGAATATAGTGAATGATAATGGTATTAATTTATTGTATGTTGCATGTCGTCATGGTCGAACATCGGTTGCGAAATGGCTTTTAGAAAGAGGAGCTAATATTAATATTAAACTTTCAAGAGACTCAGAAAGTACACCATTACATGGTGCTGTCTATCATGGACATGTTTCAACAGTTGATTTATTACTAAGTCATGGAGCTGATATAAATATAAAAAATAAATTTGGTTCGACTCCTATTGATGAATCGCGAGCGGATGAAATAAAACAACGTTTAAAACAATATCAAGCTAATTTAGAAGGAAATAGATTTTTTTCGGTACATTTATATGGTGATGGTAAAAAATCTGGTAATGAACCATTAGCAAAACTACAATTAAGTTGTGATGCTTCATATAATGATCTTGTACATGCAATGCCTGATGCAATACGAAATAAATATTCAAATTTTTCTATCGCTCGACGTCCATTAAATTTTGACCAAGATGATACAACAGTTCTATCAGCTGTATGTCGTGCTCGATATGGAAAAACGAAATTTGTCCAATTACCACTATGTATAACAGCACATGAAAAAGCTCGCTATACTCATAGTGGTCATATTTTTCGTAACGAACTTCCTAATTATTCCATGCGCGATGTTCATCGTAAATTTGTTTCAAAATGCCGAAGTTCATCAATGAAAATTCTTGGTCAATTCACTGACAATCAAAAATTTACATTTGAAGGTTTATCGTTTACATTTCCAAATAATTGTGCTAATGAAAATCTTTCCATTGATATTGATTATATAATATCATCAGATTTTGATTTATTCAATTTACCCGAATGTATTTGTCTTTTTAAAACAAAATATCATAATGGAAATGCTAAATTAAATGATATGCCAACGGTATCATTTACTGATGAACCAAATGCTCTATTATATAATTGGGTACAACCATCATCTTATTGGTTTTCTTACCGAATAGGACAAACACGTTTAGTTTCAATTGGTGAAACGCATGCTTTTATTCGTCATATTGATATTATTCCTTCTCTATTAAGACTTCCACCAGATATGTTTATTCCAACTGCTGCTGGAAAACCATTTGAAATTCGTAGTAAGCCTATTTCTTGTTACTCTTTAAAAATTCTTGAACACAATAAAAAAGACTTTCCTCATATTGCTTATCATGGAACAAATATAAAAGCTATAGAATCAATTCTTATGGATGGACTTGTTATGCCAAGTACGGTAGTCTCAATTGGATTACGTATTTGTCCGCCAAGCAATCATATTGCCCGAGGAACATCAGCTTTTGGTGTTGATGATTTTTCAAATGGAATATTTGTAACACCAAGTATACATTATTGTTCAGATCCAGCATATGCAGTCACATTTACATATGAAGATGAATGCCTCATACCTGTGTTGGAATGTAGTGTAAAGAATAATTCATTTAAGGCTTTTAAAAGTACTGTGCCCAGTTATGTTGCTCATCAAGATGATGATATCAACGCTATCGAATGGCGTCTGACAAATCCAGCAGACATTGAAATCATATCTGTACTCTTTATTCGTCTGATAACATCAAAAAATGAAGCAGCGCGATTGAGAGCTGAGAAACTTGGTGTTGATCCAACCAGTGTTATATAATACGTGAACAAAAAAAAAGTATTATCTTTTTAAAATGATTACCTTTTTCTTTTTAAATTTTGTATTTATTATCTGATTTTTCTGACCATCAATTATAATGTACTATGTAATTCAGATAAGCTTCTTTGAAAAGCAAACTCTATTTTAATCTAAAGAAAATCTTGTTGAAGAACTTTCAATTGACGGCACAATATGAAACTATGTTTACAAATTTTGTTATTCGAATAATTTCAAATTTTAATTGACATGCATCTACTGAAGAATCAATTTGTACTAGTGGCGTAACTTTGATTGAGTTTGTGTTGAGTTGAGCAAGAATGAATTTTTTTCTGTATGCTATTTAGGAAATGAATTACGTTTTGATTTTGCATTGAACTGTATGTTAGTATAATTGATTGTGTTGTTTATCAGTGATATTAATCGAGAATTTAGTAGTCATTGATAGAAGAGAAATGCAGGACAACCAGTTTATACATTAGGAAAAGAATTTTTACATCAAAATAATCAAATGAGGATGTGGGTATGTGAAAGACTATGACCCACATACATTCACACAACCACACGTTCATGCTTGCTATTCGTCATAGTCTTCACATAGAGGCAGCATCATATAATACTTTCCAACAAACTTTTAGTTTTAAAATTAAATGAATTTTCTGCAAGATGATGTTTTCTAATATACTGTTTTCGGTCAAAAATTCTTATTATCCTGGCAAAAATGGGTGTGAGTATGCTTTTCTAACAATATTCATACTGACACTCACACGCATCCACAACTTAGTATTCATTGTGATTTTCAAGAATCAAGAGTACTTATTATCACACTAACTTCGAACAATAGTTATTGAGTTTTATTTGTAAGTTATTAAATATTCAGCAATAGCTTGTGCATCATGATAAGTAACGAAAATATGCTTCCCATCAGTTGTTGAGTCGAATCCTACAGGTCGAGTTTTCATCGAACTATCTCCCTTAGTCGTTTTCCCAATCAGAACGCGCGAAACAAACATACATCGTTCTCCATTGGCATTTGGTTGAGTATAGCCGTGACTATAGATGGCACTTGATGAAAAATAAACCCCTACACCATATGCTGTTCCTAGAAAAGAAAGATAGTTAACAGAATTTTTCTTTTTTTTGGAAAAAAAAAACAAACAAAATTTACCGTTCACTCCAGCAAAACTTCTATTAAAACAGTCCTGAATAATTGAATTTGCTGCTTTTTCAGGGCATCCGTGATATAAACGTTTTTCAGTATCAATTCTGAGTCTTTTTTTAAAGTCTCGACTATGAGCCAAATATTGTAGAAGCCATCTTTCATTTTGAATGCGTTCGATTTTTATTATTTCGGTATATTTTCCTTTCATTGCTTTATTGAAATCTTTAAAAACGGACTTGTATTCGTCTGAGTTAGTCAATACCACAAATCTCAATTGATTTCCTGTCGATTTTTCCCATGTTGTTGGTAGTTGATCTTCGACCGATTTCTCGGCAGGTTCTAAAAAAAAAAGTATTATCATTTATCAAATACTTTATTTTTTCTTTCAGATTTGAACCATTTGTTTAAAAAGACTCTGAATTAATTATTTAGACATTCAACTTTTTTTTTTTGTTTTTCTTTTTCACTCTGTTCAATCGATTAATGGCACGCAAATGATATATGATGATCATAATTGAAATCGAAGCTTTTACCTTCTTTGGATGCTAAGACTTGTTTACAAAATTCATCATAAATATTTTGTTGTTCAGGCTGAATAACAAATTTGACTGTCAATGATAAGTTTCTTGTTTTAAGTTGATTTTTAATTTCTCGAACCATCGTCTTGACTACAATATCTACTGAACAGCCATATCCTCCACATCCAATGGCAGGAAATGCAACTGATGTGTAATTACAGGAGATAATATTCTGGATAACATTCCATATGAAATCGATGATCGATTGTCGAAGTATAGAGTTGTCTGCATCTGGTTTCCATTTAAGAAAAAAGATTCGCCGACAAGATAATTGTCCTGGTGGAGTTGAGATCAGAATTGAATTTGGATTGCGTTTAGATTCGGTTTCATATGTAGTTTTAACTTCATCACCGGCTGCTTCGATTATGGTCTGTGTTAATACTATCGATGATGAACTTCCGATAATAACATCAACCTATTATAATGACAACAGAATATAAAACATGTTTTTTACTATTCAATAGTCTCAAATCTGTACTTTTTGTGTTGTTATATTTCCTTTTTCTACTACAATTATTCCATTTCCAATTGAAACAGATATTATTGGTGATTCTAGAGGTTGTTCTAATGATTGTGATGGTTCTAATGTCTCTAATAAGTCGATTTGTTTTTGAAACTCATCATAAATATCTGTTCTATCTGGTTGTATTATAAAGGTAATGGCTATTGGGTACAAAGTTCGTAGTCGACAAGCTTCTTCAATTAAAGTTTTAGCAACAAGACTAATGGAACAGCCGTACTGACCACAACCAATAGCTGGAAATGCGATACTCTTACGATTATCATTCGCTGCTTTTTCAATAGCATTTGAAACGAAGTTTTTCAATGATTCACAGAGTAGTGTCTCATCGGGATTTGGTTCCCATGGAAGAAAATAAATTTCTTTTGCTCGGAGGTGTCCACCAGTAGCAACTGCAAACACTTGTGTTGCTTTTTTTCTTAATCCATTATTGTATGAAGCCTGTACAGTATCTCCACCAGATTTTAAAACACTTTCGAGCAAGGCTTTTGATGACGCACATACGACAATAACATCGGTCTGAATCAAATAGAAAATCTGCCAATTTCATTGACATTATTTAAAATATAAACTTACTTGTTCTTTTGTCAAATCACCTTTTCGAACATTGATCGATTGATTAGAAAACATTTTGGATCCCATTTGAATGCAAAGTAATTTTTAATAAAAACTAAGTAAAAAAATTCAAGTATCGCTAAGTAATTTATTGAAAATGAATCTAAATAAAAAAAGAATAAGTATTTTTTTATAATTATTTTACTTAAATTCTAAATGAGAAGGTTTGATTTTCTAAATAAAATATTGTAAATCGATGAATAAAGATACAAAATTTGTTAAGTGAAGAAATAAAAATTTAACTATTCAGTTATGTTTTTTTATAAAACTTTTGTTGCTTTTCGTGATCATTCTTGTTTTATTTTTTCACATAAAAGTATATCCTTTGCTGCTGGAAATAGTTTGCAAACTGTCAACCTCTTTGCCATATCGATTGTGTGCTTATAAATATATTCTTCAGAGAAACTTGAACAATTTTAAAGTCCATTTTCCCATATTAATGCATTATATAGTAAAGTCACCTGTCACAGTCCAAATTGAAAACTTTTAAATTGATCAACTGATCTCCATTTTTCGTTTTTCTATTTTGTTCTTTGTAATATTTTTACATCAACAATTGTTATATAATAACCAGTAAAATCTTTTGTTCTAAATTATATTTGTAATCATGATGTCAATGCTTGTACAAAATTTTTATGCATTAGTCCATTTTTTAGTAGCATTGTTGAGTCTGTTGAAAGTACAATTGGATTTATTTGACTCTTATTGTGAAACTTGAGCCATTAATTGAAAACGTTATTTGCTATTGTAAAAAATCTTCGATAATTCTTGTTTGTCTTAAATTAAAAATAAATTATTAGTAATAATTTTTACTTATCAAATGTTTTTAATCACTATAAGAGAAAATTCGAATTAAATAAGCGTTCAATATTTTCACTTAACATTCAAATTATTTACTGAGTATACACAATTTTACTTAGCAAACGAATTGTAGCTAATTATATTTACTGTTGACAGCTATAATAAAAAGAAGATCATATTGGACTTTAACCAATCGTTTTCAACGTCTTCTTCTTATCGTATAAAATAGTTCGTAGCTTAATATTATGCAGAAGATTCTTGCCACAATAATTTACAGAATGCTGTTACAACTATTGAAGCCAGACGATACTGTCAGAATAACAGGATGTGGGTGTGTTTTACTGTAGAATTTTAATCCGGTTAGTTAGCTTCAACTTGATGGTCTACCAAGCTGATGGAAACTGAGTTTTCCAAGAAGCAAGCTTTATAGCAATCTGTGAACATGAATTTTCTTCCAGCATTACAATTGGCTTATCAAGAACCTGTTGATAGAAAGATGTGAAGCAGTTTAATGACATAAGTCATTGTTTCTTTTTTAACTTGTACTTACTATTGATTGGTTCGATAATGCAGTTGTGTCAAGACTGCTCTGAATTCGTTGTAACAGTCTCTACTTTTTTTTGTCTAATGTAGGGGTTTAGATTGTGTGCTAGGCGTTTCTGTTGAATCTTTTATCCACGAAAAAAGTGATTTATGAAGAAGCCCTTTCTTCGTTGTTGCTGCTAGTGTTGCAGCTACTATCATAGAAGTTGAAGCAGGATTTAATTTAGGTAAAGCAGTTGTCTGTGTTGAAGTACTACGACTCATTGTTGTTGTGTCGATGCAAAACACTTTAACTCAAACCTCTGACTCAAGATGACTATGGCGCATTCAGGTTCTATTTGTCAAATTTATTCCCGTGAAATGTGCATCTGTTGTATAATGCATCGTTTTTTTTCTCCAGATATCCTCATCTGTAATTTAGGTTTCATATTGCTATGTGTGTTTAAAACAGGAGACCATCGAAGAACAAACACATGTATCTTCACTTTTTTGCAAGAAAATTCGACGGTTTTGATAAGACTGTTGTATCTAGAACACAAGAAGCAAAGAGCCAAAGTCTGATGACAATTAATACTGGAAAGATGGGCATAGCAGGCGATGCAGAGCACTCACACTCACACCCAACGAACTGAACTTCACATTGTCACTAGCTTGTTTGATTCGTTTTGAGCTACTTTGTTTTTATTTTGTTTCACTCATACGCAAAACATGTGGAGAAAAAAACCGTTGAAAAATCAAGAAATAACTTTTTTCTTGCTTCAGACGCATCATAACGTTGCTAGACGTAAGAGAAGCACTTGAAAAGCATTGACGACGAAAAGCAAGAGAGCGAGTGACATTATTTTCTTCTATAATCTTCTACTGTTTTCGTTCTTCAATCGTGTTTTCATCTAAGCGGCGTATAGTTTGACAGAAATTTCGAAATGGTAGAAGCGACAACTTTCTATTGTTGTTTGTAGCTCGGTGTGGATGTGGATGTAGATGTCAGTGTCGGTATGGGTGTATGGATGTGATAAATGTGGGTAGGTATGAGTCTTCTCTTACCTAAGACCTACCAACATCTACATCCACATTTAATTTTGACTTTTCTAAAAACTGTTAAAGACGGTCTGGAAACTTTTTTTTCGTCAATATTTTGAAAAAAAGGCATTGGTTAAATAGTGGTCGATCAAATCGTTAATCAGACAACATCCATTCAAAATTTTGTCTTCGCTATTTTAGTATAAGAGATTCACAGTTTTTGAGACAAAAATAGTTTCCAAGTGTAAAATTCGCATTTTTCAATCTGTATGTGCTCTTTTCCTTAATATTAGTTAACAAACACCTTTCTTCATTATTTTTGCATGCTAGAGATGCATATATATATGTATTCAATTATCATGAAATTCATTTCTTATGAGGATACAAGTCGGCTCATCAGAAGTTCATTGAAACTATAAAACGGTTCAATTTCTGTACAGTTGGAAAATTTTATTAGAGGTTCTTGCCTTCGAATACTTTTTGAAAGAAAGTTTTAGATTTAATGTTGTATTTCTAAATATGCAGGCAATCAGTATTGTGATTCATTGTAACAGTCTTTTTCGTTTTGGTTTCTTGAATTTCACTTCAGATTCATCAAACTGTGTGCTCATAACTTCAGAGATTCAGTTGTAGCTGAAATATAGTAATTTCACTCAAGTTTGTAAGAAACAGCATCTACAGTGTCAATGAACAATTTTTTTTTCATGTAAACGCCAAACGTGAAGTATTCTCAAGCAATAGGAATGTAGATGCTCAGAGCTGTGAATGTTTGTTATTCTTGTCGAATTACAAGATTAGATTATAATCCAATGACTACTGTTTACTTTATGATTAACTCATGTGAGTTACGAATCGTGAATTAAAATGCATCTTATTTTCCATGATGGAAATTTCATAGTCTTTAGAGTCCGTAATACTTATGTTATATTCCATGAAAGGGTGTTTTCGTCAATAAATGGACCTATTGTTAGCTGAGCTACTAGAACATGAGTCCAGTTCCCACCACCACTCATAGGATGAGCAGTACCACCAGATGACTCAAGAGTGATCTTGTCTAAGTTTTCCCAAAAAAGCAGTATAGGTTTTGGTTTACCAAAGAGAAGTATTTCTGTATGCGTGTTGATCTCTATTGAATTTCGATGTCCTGTAATGGTTAATTGTAGATTATCGTTCCAAGCAGCACATGCAGCAACAGAAAAAAAAGTAAATTTTTCATTTGGCCTTGCGACGCTTACTGATGCTTTTTGTTCAAAAAATGCTATGTTTCGACTACCACCAGCCATGAAAGAAGTGGTATATCCACTTGTTGTATGCCGTATCTTGAAAAATAATTCATTTACATAACACATATTAACCCATTCCAATCTACGGTACATATTTGGAATGGATCTCTGTTGGTCAGCAGAGATCGGTAAATCATGAAATGTGATCGGCGTTGTGACTATCACTAGATCGAAAGTCATTGGTTTATCAATGATAAAACCTAGTAAATCACTTACTGAACGCTAAAATTTTATTCGATTTGTCGGTGAATTCTTGCATTGCCCGTTTATTCTCTTTGCATTCATCTCGAAGTTGTCGAAGTTGTTCTCTCAAACAAATATTTTCAGTATGAGTTATAGCAGTATCACCTCTTTTGTATATGAGTTTGCAATCTTGGCAAGTTACTTGCATCGATGGACAGTTACTCA